TAAAACAAAGTCTGTTCCCAAGGGAATAGATGCATCTTATTTTAAACAGTTTCAAACACAAAAACACACAAGTGATGTTTGTTGAACTGTTTTCTGAGGTGGTGTTCCTCTACACCATGAAACCATCCAAAATTGCGGAGAATTGTGCCACTCAAGGTGGCTGCATGTTGGAGCAGCTCTGTTACTTTCATTTTGAGATTTTATTTTGGAAACTTTAATTCATGTTTTTCTGGATGTAAATCACATTTTTTGACGATTGTTTCCTCTGGTATCAGATGTTGTGCAGCTGGAAGGATTTTTACTGAAACTTTTTTAGTTTTGGACATTTGTTATGATGCGTAACCATGGCAACAAGGCAGTTTCTACAACCAACAGCAGCTGATTAACATCTCAAAAGCTCAAATAATATCTCAACTGCAGCCCCAAATCTCAAATGAGTTGAAAGGATGTTCTGTGGACGCATTCTCATCTACCTGCCATCTGTGCTCGAGTGCCTGACCACTGAGATCCTGGGACTAGCAGGAAACATGGCTCATGACAGCAGAAGGACAGGATCATCCCTCGGCACCTACAGCTGGCTGTCCGCAGCGACGAGGAGCTCGGCAGGCTGCTGGGAGTGGTGGTCATCGCTCCAGGAGGAGTTCTGCCTGGCATTCAGGCAATCCTACAGCCCAGGGGAACCATGAGGCCAGCCGAGTCTGGGTGGACGGATTGGACGGCATCCGCAGCCAGTTTCTTAGGTTCCACTGTGGGATGGACCTTTACAAGAGATCCTTCCTGTCTACAGCCATCAGCATCTACAACATCTCTTAATGAAATGAGGATAACAAGTTATAACAACAAATAATTTCCCTTTGGGATTAATAAAGTATTTTTGAATTTGTAAAGGAGACATCCAGGTGGCACCTTGATCAGATGAACCACCTCAACTGACTTCTTTCAATGGAAAAAGAGCAGAAGCTCAACTCCGAGTTCCCTCTGGATGACGGAGCTCCTCACCCTATCTGTAAGGCCGAGTCCAGCCAACCTAAAAAAGGTAAATTATTTTGGTTGCTTGTATTCAAGATCTTATTCTTTCAGTCATGATCCAAACCTCATGACTACGTGAGAGGGTTGGAACATAGACGAACCAGTAAATCCAGAGCTTTGAATTTCAACTCAACTCTTTCTTCACCACGAACAACCAAAGCAACGCTCTCAATCTAGAGGATGAGGCCACTGGTCCATCAATCCATCCTCTGCTCCAACCTACTATAGCCCAACCGATATGGAAATTTTGTCTATCATCGATAGCGATATTGGAGGGGGGGGGGGGGGATATAATGGATGAAAATATTTGAGCTTTGTCTACCCCCAAGAATCTAAGAAAACAGCAAGTGGAGCGGGGCTTGTTTATTTAGCGCAGCTGTTTGCAATTATGAAGCTAAGCTAATCAAATCCACGCTATACGTGGTCCCACTCTGTTTACAAGTGGTGTACTAGTCATAAAAACAGTCTTCTAACGTGCGTTCACATTTTCTATCCTCCACTTTTCACCAAAAAGTTATTAACCTTTATTTAACCAGGCAAATCCCATTGAGATCACAGATCTCTTTTGCAAGGGAGGCCTGAACCTGAAGGCAGTCTAACATGCATGTTTTTGATCAGTAGAGGAAACCGGAGTACCCGAAGAAAACCTACGCATTCACGGAGAGAACATGCAAACTCCACCCAGAAAGGCCCCCGGACCAGGATTAGAACCAGGGACCTGCTCGCTGAGAGGCAGCAGCTCTACCAGTTGCATGTTAGGCTGCCTTCAGCACAGTGGCGCAAGTTTTTGATCTGTGGGAGGAAATTGGAGTACCTGGAGAAAACCCACGCAAGCACGAGAAGAACATGCAAACTCCACACGAAGGACCCCAGGTCCAACTGGGGATTGAACCCAGGACCTTCTTGCTGTGAGGAAACAGTGCTAACTACTGAGCTGCCATGCTGCCCATGTTATCAAGTGTGTTACAAAAATATAAATTAAACAAAGAAATGCTGTTCCCTGTTCATTGTTTAAACAGTCAGTCCCGTTTGGTGAAGGCCTACTGACCACAGCAGTGTTTTGTTTTCTTTGTAGAGAAGGAAAGATTTCAGACAACGCATTTCATTGAGGATGACAAAGATAATGTTACTAATTTAGTAACTTATATTACTAATCCCAGGACATCCTTCTCAGTGGATTTCTTTCCTAGTAAAATAAACGTTTTATAATAACTAATATATATATTTACCGCTATGTTAGATTTATTGTTTTGGATAAAGTTTTACCAAGCAATAACCTATGCAAGGTTAGCTAAACGTTAGCTTGCTAACTTGAGAAGCACGGAGCTAATGGCAAGTGGGTTGGAGGATTGAAGAGGATTCATTATTGTTTATTTGTTTAACAGATCAGTAAAAACCAAAAACTTGTCATGATCTGTTCAGCAAAATAAGCTACACAATACAGTATTGCTCCCTGCTTCACTGTGAAAGTGAAACTTAAGGGAACAGCCATGACTTGAAAGTAGTCTTCATGCGCCCTCTGCTAGAAACATTGTACAATTATGACTGGTTCCAGCATTTTAGGGGTGAAAAATAGAAGTACTTATAGCGGCGCATAATGGGACAATTATCATCGATACCGATAGGTTCCCAAATATCAGCCAAAATTTTTTTGGCCCTGCCTATATATTGGTGGGGCTCTACATCCTACCATCACTCATGAACAAGACATCCAGATACTTGAACTCCTCCACCTGAGGCTCAATCTCCTCCTCGACCCAGATAGGCATTCCACCCATTTCCGGTTGAGAACCAAAACTTAGAGGCACTGACTCTCAGCCCAACCGGTTCATACTCAGCTGCGAATCCCACTAATGCACGCTAAAGTTCATGGTCCGAAGACGCAAACAGAATTACATCTTCCACATGAAGCAGAGACAAGACCCTGAGGTTACCAACCCAAACGCCCTCCTCTTCACAACTGCACCTTGAGATCCTGTCCATAAAAAATGGATCAGATACATGGGAACTCAACTTTGTGTCAAGAATACGACACATCTCCTGATTCGGTTGGCGACCCTGAAGGGTGAAGATCTGGTCCACGACCAGTATGAAAGCCACACACCTCCTCTTGGAACCAAGGTTCGACAATGATGAGTTGTGAGTGCACTGCTTAACCTCCTAAGGCCCGAACTCTTGCATATGTGGATGCCAGGTCCTAGGATCAGTAATGCATCTGTTTTCCTACCACTGGACAATCCTAAAAGCAACATGCAGTTCAAAAAAAATTTAAAAATATGTGATATTTTCAGGAAACAACAACACAGAAAACAGAGCTCAGAAAGAGAAAGGAGCTTTAATTGTGTTTGCATTTCACAATTAGCATAATAAAAACAAACAAGCTGAATACTGAACTGGAAGTTTGATATTTCTGACAATGGAAAACATCTGGGACCTTGTGTACATAATTTCGCTCCACCACATGTACCACATGAGGTGCGAATGACAATAAAGAAACTCTGACTCTGACTGACATTTAAGGATTATTGATGGAAATATTGTGCAGATTTGATAAAAGAAGAGGTGGTGGGAAACCAGAATCAGGGTAAATATGACAAATGCCAGCACAACAGACAGGAAGACATCAATCTCTATGCTCCTGTTACGGCCCCTCTTCGCTGAACTGGAGTCACTTTGTGAAACTTGAGCCACTCACAGCTTCAGGTCCAAACCTTAATCTGTGTCGAGCGTCCATTAAAAAATGGTTACATCATTTGTTCATCACTTTAAAATGTTTCCAACCACAACCAGAGACTTATGCGGTGGGCGTTGTTTGTCCAAGAGTACAATCTGAACATCAAACAGTAGAAAGGCACTCCGAATGTTCTCGCCGATGACCTCTCCAGGATGTGAGTATGGCTCATATTTCTTTTATTCGTTTGGTGCAAGGTATTTACAAAACCTGGTTTTGTAACTTAAGGGGGAGAGTGTTACGGCCCCTGGCCTCTAGAGTCTGTGTAGTCTCTTTTTTTGTTTATGCAGATTCAGGTGTGGCAGCACACTCAGCTGATTGGCTGCCATGAGGCTGCAGAACAGCAACCCCATTGGACCAGCAGGAGATTGCCACACCAATCAGATGATGATGAGGTCCACCTGCACCCTATTAAAGGCTCCTGGGATCATTCCTTCAATGAGGCAGCTTTCGGCAGAGGTTTTTGTGCAGCTGATCCCTACTTTGTATCCTTTTGAGGATTGTTTTGGGGACAGTTTTAGACAGAAGTTTTGTACAGCTGACTCCCATTTTTGGTTGTTGTAACTTTTTTTGAGGACTGTTTGGGCCACTTTTGAGTATTATGTACTCCTGATCCCTTTCTGCTCAGCTTAGCAGCATGATGCTGAGTTTGACTGGGTGATTCCACTTGTACTTGGAAAGTTTTTGGTGAACCTTTTTTAATGTTGTTGTTTGGGTTGTTTTGAGTCTGGACTAGACTGACTTGTTTTTTTATTTAATTGTTGCAGCAGCATTTGACCCACTTCAGTATATTTTTGTTGGGTCAAAGAGTACATCTTTTTTCTAGACACATTTTATGTTACACCCCTGATACCCTAGACATGGGGACGTAACAGCTCCTCTAAAGGGTTTCTGTAAACTGACCCATAAAACACAACAATGATGTGAAACTCCACCTATAAAGATCAAACAAATTCCCAAATCAGCAGAGCATGTATTGCCCATCAACACAATACTTTCAACAGCAGCAGTGGTAATTGTTAATCTTATTTCCTGGTTGCTCCACCACTTTCCTTTAAAAATGACACGTCTAATGTTAATCAGAAACTGCAGATGAACATGAGTCTCAGCAGATGTTACATTGATAAAGCTTGTTTTGTTGTCTACCTAAATATAAACGCTTTTCAGGAGCGAAAAGCTAAACGGAAAAAAGTATGTGGCTTTCACTTTTAACGCATCAGTCCCTGTTCAGATTCCCTACCTGTCCGGTGATGCCAGTGATGACAGCGACATTCCTCTTCTTTAAAGCCTCCCCGTTCGCCGAAGAGCTGCTGCTAGCTGCTGCGGAGCTCTGAGCCATCTCTTTCCGGTTAAATATTTACAGTCCGCCGCCGAAAACAACTGTCAGCACCGACTAAAACCGTCCGTGAGTTCACAAACTGAGTACCAAGCGGGTCCTCTCAGCATCCGTAAACCAAACTGAGCACCGTTGTCTTGAGCGTGACGAAAGCGGAAAAGACTCCGGCTTCAGCCAATAAGAAGCGAGCAGCAGAACGCCGGCGGGCTCTTTGATGTAGCGCCCCCTCTCGACAGGGAGGAAGAATGCAGGTTTTCATGAATAACGATTAAAAGCACATTTATGGTTTATGGCACAGTTGGGTGTCCTCCTGACACGATCTTAAAAAAAGCAATATATATATATTTTTAATTCCACCATCATATTGTTGCTATAATTGTTTAAAAAAGGTTAAAAAAACAGTCATAAACAAAAAATGCAGCATGTAAAAATGAGCTATCATCATCATGCTCGTGTTAATTTTTTTTTTCTAAGCAACTTTTGTGTAATTCAAGGATATTTAAGGTTATAACATCTTGCTGTTGTTATTTTGGAGGTCAAAAGCTAAAAAGTTTAGAAAAGACTGGTCCAGACATATAATAACATATTATATTTACAAATATTTTTATTTATTTTGTTCATTTTCATGTGCAGTAGGCCTATATCTGGTTGCGTTAATTACGCAATGCAGTATTCGCAGACATTTATTTTTAGCAATTCAATTCAGTTTATTTATATAGTGCCAAGTCACAACAAAAGTCATCTCAGGGCACTGAATAGAAACACTCGTATACATAAAATGTAAATTAATAACATTATTTATCTGAGGAGTTAGCAGACTGCTTTGAGTCTAACTTTGATGCACTGACAAGGTGTTTAAAAAAATCTTAACAGTGCATAAACTGTATTGTATGTAGTCAAACAATCTTGTAGTCTTAACAAACATAATAATAATATTTTAATTATGCTTTATTTTTCAGCATTTGTAATCAGCAAACAGAGATCTCTGTGAGCTAAAAGTGACAGAGCAGCATTGTTCTTTATTTGCACATCAAACATTTACTTTTTTAACAACATAACTGACTGTTGGCCAGCAGGCGAGGAGGAAGTGGGATCTTTTCATGAGATGTGCAAGTGTTGTTTCACTTCTAAGGTTTCACATGAAAAACAAAACGCCGTTGTCGCCAGTCTTGTGAATATTGTTTATGTGTAAATCAGTGACAGACCTACATTTTTCAGTAAAAACCAAGAATAAACTCAAATTGCAACTTCACACAGAGATAATTGTGCAGAAAGTAATAATGCTGATGTAAAATGTAATGCAGCTGCAGTTTTTTTTTTTCTTGGCAAACATTACAAGCTCATTAAATTTCTAAAATAGTCAAAAATAACAACTATCACACAAGTTTTTTTTTTGTGCATCATTTATTAAAGTATTCATGTTCTACGTTTATTTGAGTTATATACTTTCACAAGAAAACTTGAAAAGGATATTATAAATTACGATGAAAAACTATTTAAAACACAAAGCTTTTTAATTCAAAATGGAAGAGCCAACAACTGAGCATCTCCGCTGTTGGCTCTCCATCGACCTGAACCGTGCGTTTATGAGCATCGTTTGTGTAACGTTGCTTCTGCTGGTGTAAAAACACGACATGTTGAATAAAAAGTTTTGCACTTCAAGTACAGTCTGGTTGAGACAGCAGATAGATGAAGGTAAGAATCCAGTTCAGTCATTAACATGAATCGTTGGTAGGTAGTATGTGTTGTTCGGTATGCCTTCATGGAAGGTGAAAGGGGTTCTCCAAACTGCTCGAGCAAAAACAACATGAACGCAGACAGACAGAGAAGCAGGCTGCCGTGGAAAAGAGCTAAAGGTGTTGCACAAATAAACAAGAATTCTCTAGGAAACGTTCAGGCGGAATAAGCTGTGCTGCGGTATATACAAAATAAATTAATGGGACGGACACTTTAATTTTAACCAATTTGAGTAACTTCCTGATAAGACTTGTAAATAAAAAAAATAAAATTTAAACCTAATGAAAATCTTTCTGCATTTTCTTTACAAAGTTTTTTGGAAGAAAGTGGTCTAAAACAAAGCATGCAAAATAAGCCTGGACAACAAAATATTTAACGACACAAACAGACAACTTTTCAATTTTACAGCGGTACATTCATCAGCAATCATAAAAGTGACACTTGTTGCAATATTTCAGAGTATTTGGATATAACTGGAGAGTCGTTACTGGTTTAGGAAAGAGCTTGTTGTTCTAACAACTCTGCAAGCAGGCGATTATAAAAAAAATAGCTTAATTTCCAGCTCAGATCTACATGATGTGCAGCGATGCAAAGGCAAAAACGTGAGGCAGAATAGAAGCCCAGTGGCCATACTGGTACAGCAGGATTGGTCCAAGTATTGGGCGCTGGGGCCCTTAAACGTCATAATGCAAACTGTGCCTCTAAAAGGGAAGCAAACAAAGCGTCTATGTTTAGTTGGAAAACTTAAATTTGTTTTCTAATTCATAAAAATGTAAAAATAATCTCTCACCTGTTCAGCTCTCCTGGGGAGGAGTGCGCGAGGAGTGGCACTTGTTTTTCTGCAACAAGACAAATGACGGAAACTTTTATCGGAACTGCAAAATTCAAAATAAAACTCATAAAACACCTTTTTTTTGTATCAAGTACCATTTATTAACTGAAAATGTGATGCACAGTGTTACATTTGGTTTATAAAAAAATAAGACAAACTGTAGGACTCCCTGTGTGTTTTGATGTAAAGTTTAATTTCGGGGCAAAAAAAAACATAATCTGGTATATTTTCTTGTTTGTTTGCTGCACAGTTCTAAATCTTTTTGCATAAAATATCTGCAAATTTATAATATTTATAGACGTCGGTATAAGATCATTCTTTGCTGCAGAGCATTTTGTCCAGTTTGCATCAACAGTTGTCTCCTGCAGCCAGTGGAACATGAAGCTGTGTGATCATTTCTGCATTCATTCAACCTTTATTTAAACAGGTTAGTCCCACTGAGCCTCGGGGACTCATTTACAAGAGAGACCTGATTTTAACAAAGAGGATGACAACAAAGACAATCATAAAGGATGCGCACAAAATGCCGTTTTCTACCTTCTGGTGTAGTCGATGGTGCAGGTTTTGGTCTGACAGCCAGGCGTGTCTGAGGGACTCGGTGGCACTCATCCTCCAGCTCTTGCTTTTCACCAGCAGGCGTGTGATGAAGTCTTTGGCTTCGTCTGAAATGTCGGCGAACTCCTCCTCCTCGAAGTTCCACTGGCAGGACAAAATGTTGTTGAGCGTCTCGTTGTCGTCGTCCCCCAGAAACGGAGACAAGCCGCTGAGCCTGGACAGAAGGGAGATGGAGGTCAGGGACACGATGAGCTGGACTTCAGCTACTTTCACACAGGAGTGTGTTCTGGTGGAGATAATCTGTTTCTCCAGGTTCATGTGGAGCCGTTTGTTGAGTTTACACTCATCTTTCAGCATTTGTACATATAAACACTGCACTTCTAGGCCTTTGAGCCTTTTATCTGACATTACAGAATGTTTTGTAGATTTGGAAATATCGTATTTTTCGGACTATAAGTCGCACCGGATTATAAGGCGCAATATTAATGAACAGCATGGCATACCATATCATACCATTTTATTTATAGAGCACTTAAAACAGCGACAAGGCCAACCAAAGTGCTGTACAGACAGAACAACAGGTAACACACAAAACAAAATACAAAATGAAGTAAATCAGAACATAGACATAAAAACGATGCAGATAATGAGGACTAACCGGTGTGGAACATACAGGATCAAAACACAGATCATCTTGTGTTGAAAGCTACTGAATAGTAGTGGGTTTTTAAACGGGACTTGAAAACCGAGAGGGAGGGGCCTGTCTGACAAGCAGAGGTAACTCGTTCCAGAGTCTTGGTCCTGCTACAGAGAAGGCCCTGTCACCTCTACGCTTAAGACGAGTTCCTGGAACTGTGAGGAGCAATTGGTCCGCTGACCTCAGGGAACGTGGTGGGACATAAGGTTGTAGCAGATCAGAGAGATGGGGGCGACACTGTTCAGTGATTTGTAGACATACAGAAGTATTTTGAACTGGATTCAAAGGTGAACTGGTAACCAGTGCAGTGAGGCCAAAACTGGTGTAATGTGCTCTCTTTTGCCTGTACTGGTTAAAAATCGGGCTGCTGCATTCTGGACCAGTTGTAGTCGTGCAATGGAGGTCTGACTGATACCAAACAGGAGTGAATTGCAGTAATCAAGCCTAGATGTAATGAATGCATGTATTACTGTCTCCAGGTTATATTTGGACAATATGGGCTTCAGTTTAGACAGCCGCCTCAGTTGGAAGAAACATGATTTAACAATCATGTTTACGTGACTGTTAAGTTTCATGGAAGGGTCCATTATCACTCCCAGATTAGTGACTCTTTGTTTTTCTGACAGGGTTAGAGCGGAGAGGTCGAAGCAGTGCTTTGTGATCGTGTCGTTGGGAGGGAACAACATGACTTCAGACTTCTTTTCATTGAAACTTAAGAAGTTTAAATCCATCCAGTCCCTGATGTCAGCCAGGCAGTCGAGCAGAGGTTGAATAGAGCATGTACCATTGTGTCTTAGGGGGAAGTAAATTTGACAGTCGTCAGCGTAGAAATGAAAGGGCATGTTGCGTTTCCGGAAAATAGCACCAAGCGGCAGCAGGTATAAAGAGAATAGGAGGGGACCCAGGATGGGCCCCTGCGGAACCCCCCATTTAAGCTCTGCCGCTGCGGAACTAAAATCCTTGATGGAGACGCAAAAGGATCTGCCATTGAGGTAAGATCTGAACCAATTGAGGGCTGACCCTGTGATGCCCACCCACTGCTCCAGCCTAGCAATGAGGATCTCATGGTCGATGGTGTCAAAGGCGGCTGTGAGGTCCAACAGGACAAGCAGCACAGAATCACCGGTATCTGTGGATCTGAAGATGTCATTAAAAACCTTCAGTAGGGCAGTTTCAGTGCTGTGGAGAGGTTTAAAGCCAGATTGGAAAAGCTCTAAGATTGTGTGACCTTCCAGGAAGCACTTCAACTGGGACTCGACTATTTTCTCCAGTACTTTAGAAACAAATGGGAGTCTGGAGGCAGGCCGGTAGTTGGAAACGACTGAGGGGTCAAGGTTTGTTTTTTTTAGGAGGCATAAGGCACAAGCAAAGTAAGCGGCTGCTTAGGGCTCCGGGGCCACTAGGGGCCCCGCTAAGTGGTAGCACAGGTTTTAGGAAGTTTGTGAACCATTCAGGAAGAAATAACAAGGTTGTTTAATATTTTAAGTTCAGCTTTTGCAAATTATTGCATACATTCACAGTACATAGTTTTAAGAATTGTTCAACTTTAAATTTCTTTTTTAAACCATTTTACGTGGTTTCAAGTGATTGTTCATTTATATTATTTAAGTATTTCCTTGATATTTATTTATGTTTTTATTTAATTTTGTCTGTTTTTGCACATATTGAGTTATTTTTATACATTTAGGTTATTTTATCTGTTGTTTCTTGTTGAACTTGCCCTACAAATTATTTTGAACATTACTGTTGCAGTTCTTTGAAACCAAAGATATTAAACCAGATGACACTTTTGCTGTAAAATACATTACATACTGGTGTTTTTTTTGGGGTTACTTTTAGTACCACACATATAGACTAATGTAAGCAGGGCTGTCAGAGTTGCAATGAGTTTATGTTATGTGGGTGAATGATCTGATAATCTGACTGTTGATTGCAGTAATCCACATTATTAGCAGAAACAGAGGGCCCCAAACCAAATTTCGCTTAGGGCCCCATGGAGGCTTGGGCTGGCCCTGATGAACGGGTCTGTTTTCATATATAAGGCGCGCCGGATTATAAGGCGCATTAAGCAAAACTAAAACATTTTGACAGATTTTTGAGCGCCGTGTGCCACATAAAATCGGTTCGAGGTCAGTAAGCACAAAGCACACTGGTTTATAAGGCTCACTTGATTTTTTTTTAAGAATTAAAGGATTTTAAGTGTGCCCTATAGTCTAAAAAAACCCCGATATTTTAGTTTATTTGTTGTAAATTGGGGCCTTATTTGTTTTCCGTAATGACCTTAAATGTGGCAAATTTTTATATTTTCTAAATGAACTTTTAATTAAAAGTAAAATGTACATTTTAGTTTCAGGCTTTTTCTTCCGTTGCATGTTTACGGCTGTTCAGGTTGGTACGCTGGACTCAGCATTGCCTCATGTTTTAGAGCCTTTATGTGTTAAATGTTTGGTACAAAAATAGATAAATTCCAATTTACCTTCTTATATTCTCTGTCTGGATTCATGCTACTCCGTTTTCCCTTTGGCCACCAAGAATACATGACATTTATGAGCTGAACTCACAGCATGTACGTGATGACGCCGAGGCTCCACATGTCCGTAGGGAATGAAACAAACTCATAGTTGATGACTTCAGGAGCTAAAAATTCAGGCGTTCCGAAGTTGACCCTCAGCTTCTCTCTGGGCTTGTACCTGCGGAAGACAAAACACCCGAGTCATGTAGGACTGCTACAATAAATAAGTCACAGCAGCTGAGGTTTCTACAAGTTTTACCTCCTCGCCAGGCCGAAGTCAATGATTTTGATTTTGTTAGTAGCTCTGCTGATGCAAAGAATGTTCTCTGGCTGAAAAATAACAGAAAAGCTGTTGGTGAGACTGATGACGGATGCTTTCAGACAGTTTCTGTCTGCGTCTCTGTCAGGCTGTTAACCAAGATATGGAGCTAAACCAAATGGGACGTCAAACTGCGGCACGTTTAAACATTAAAACGATCAGATTTACCTTGAGATCCAGGTGTAAGATGTAGTTCTTGTGCATGTACTGCAGGCCTTCGGTGATCTGCTGGATGAACAGCACGGTGTCGAGCTCCGTCAGGTTGTAGTTCTCATCGATGATGCGATCGAACAGCTCCCCTCCTTCCACGCTGCAGCACAGACACACACGGTTACAGCCTAACGAAGCTCCCAGCACCAAACAGAGACACGCCGAAACAGACTTACTACTCCATGACCAGGATGATGTCGTGGCGTGACTCAAAGGCAGCGTACAGCTGGATGAGGTTGGCATGGTTCAGCTGGTTCATCACCTGGATCTCGTTCCTCACCACCTCCTGACAAACAGGTTTGACATAAACGCACAGTGAAGATCATTTAAGAACTGAAATGTTCCAATGATTAAGTTATAAATTCAAAACTATCCTCAAGGCCAAATGAAGCTTGAATATGATATAGGAATTACAGGAATGGCTCTAAATTGGTTTAAATCACATTTATCTGATAGATTGCAATTTGTAAATTTAAGTAATGAATCTTCATATTACACCAACGTTAGTCATGGAGTTCCTCAAGGTTCAGTGCTTGGCCCAATATGCTTTACCTTAGGTAAAGTTATTAAACAACATAGGATAATTTTTTATTGTTATGCTGATGATAGTTAAAATTCAGCTCACATCTTGCTCGCATGAGATGTTTCCAACTAATAATTAAATGGTAAATGGTAAATGGGCTGTACTTATATAGTGCCTTCCTATCTTATTTCAAGATACTCAAAGCGCTTTACACTACAAATTACAAGACTGAAAACACTTCTCTAATGATTGTCATGGCAACAACTTTTATTTATAATATATATTCATTTGTTTGATGAGTAACAGCTCCAGTGCAGTGTCTGTATGTCTCAAACCGACCTGTCTGCAGAATACTTCATTCTCGCCAAACAAAGATATATATAAAAAAAAAAAAAGCTCTGGGGCATATTTTCTGTTCAGTAACATTTACAAAAAGGCCACAGATTTCCTAGAATCAGAGTTTAAGCTGCTTTGGGGAGTTGCATTTCAAAATTTTGCACAAACAATTACAGAAACTGCAACCTACATGTTTTTATTCCTACAGCAGCTCATACGGTCACTGAAACGATGCAGCGACCACAAACATTGATAGTCTTTCTGCAGATTGGGTTTGTCAGATATAACAGAAAGTTGTCCAACAGGCAGAGTTCTTATCTTTTGTCATCTGCAACCTGAATACGTGCAAACGGATCAAATTATCCCCCGGAGAAACGTGTTCATTCAAGAAACTAGAACTTTTAGAGCAGCTCAGCTCAAGAGGAGCTGGAAACGTTTCAGGTTTGGGCTGTAAGTTTGTCAAGTCTAATCTGGATTCTAGCTCGTGTTCTTTGGACATTGGACTTTTTTACGGCACCTTCTCCTTCTGGTTCCGAGCTTTGATGATTTTGGCAGCAAGAGTCAGACCAGACGACTTCTCCAGGCACTTGTAGACTTGTCCGAAACGACCCCTAATGAAGGAAAAACAAACACACGAAGAGTGAAACTCAAGGACAGTTGGAATCTACTGTTCTGTCAGATTACATTTTAATCTTCAAATATGATTTAGAAATAATATATATTGCTAATTGTTGGTTCCAGCTTCTTGAACAAATGATACGTTGATGAGCTGTGGTTTAACGCAACTGGAAAATGAACATTTTATTCATAATTGTTTTTTTGTTTTTTTCCCAGTTCTTGTTGTGCACCAGTTACTTCACAAACGTGTGCATGCTTCTAACTGCTAAAGTTTTGTTTTGCGCTCTGCACAGGAGCTTATGAAGAGCAGTTTATCACTTTATTGTCAGTGTCATTTCTGGTAACACAGCACATGTAAAACAACAACTGAGGGTGACCAAATAAAAGCATGAACGACTGACATATAAGATAGAGTTACAGTACAAAGCATGACTTCTTTAGTCCCCAAAAAGCTGCAGGAATTGCAAAATTATTTGATTAATAGTGATTTTTAAAGATGTTCAATACATATCAGAGCTACTTCCATTCATTCCGCCTCATATTTGTCTAATAGGCAATCTTGGTTACACAGATAAGTTGGGTAAACCTGTGCACCTGTAGCAGTCTGACTGACCAACGTGTAGAAAAGGCCGGAAGGAAAGTCACATTAGCTGAGCTCACGTGTCAAAATGTTTCTTTTCAAGCCAGAATGATAGAAACGATATTAAGAAAACTGATCGTTTCAGAGCGAATGGACTGAAAAGTATTATTTGTGCACTGAATTCAGCAACCAGTTGTTTTTATTTTCTTCTTCTTCTTTCGGCTGCTCCCTTCTTCAGGGGTCGCCACAGCGAACTAAGTCGCACAAAGACATGGCAGTTATTTTTACGTCGGATGCCCTTCCTGACACAACAACAGACCACCGAGCTACCGCAGCCATCTGTGTGGAGCAGAGAGCTGCCATCTTGGACGCCCGGAGGGGTGTGGGGGTTAAAGGCCTTGCTCAAGGGTCCAGAGTGGGGTAAATGAGGGTTGAGGCAGGTGTGGGTGTTTCACCTATCCCACCCGTATTTTGATGTTGTCTGTACCGGGAGTTGAACCAGTGATCTTCCGATCACAGGCCCACCTTCTCAGGGCGGCTGTGGCTGAGTTGTTAGAGCAGTCGTCCTCCAATGCAAGGGTTGGGGGTTCGAATCCACCAGCAGTCACAAGCTGAAGTGTCCCTGGGCAAGACACTGAACCTCTCATTGCCTCTGATGGGCGTCCCATCGGTGTTTGAATGTGATGAAGCTCTGATTTGTCCAGTTAGCTTTGTAGAGAGGTACTAGAGTGCCGAATGGGTAAATGAGGCACAGATTGTGTTGTAAAGAGCTTTGAGTATCTTGTTCAGATAGAAAGGCGCTATATAAGTACAGTCCATTTACCATTTACCTTCTCTAACCTCTGCGCCACCACTCCCATACATTCAGCAAGCAGTATTCAACAAAAAACATGGCTGGGATTCAAGAACAGGTGAAAAGACAATAAAATCAAATCTGTTTACTGCGTTTTTCCAAAGTACCCACTTTTATGTAATGAGTGCCAAGTGTCCATTGGCCACTTTTGCACCAAACAGGATCTCTGGTTACATTCCAGCATGTTGATTTGTCATTAACTAAACAAAAGGTGATGATTTTCAGGGGCTGAACGTGTGAAAGACTGCACGCTTGCTGCCCTGCTTGGATGTGCTGTTGAAAAACATTTTACAAGTTAATGTTTGTGACACTCTCTTGTTTAAGAGCTGCTGATCTCATGCTGCTGATTTATTTCATGCTGCTGCGTTCATTCGGCTCACACAGACTCATGTTCGTGCTGCTGTTCAGCGTTGGGGAGTGGTGGCGCAGAGGTTAGAAGATGGGACTGTGATCGGAAAGTCGCAGGTTCAACTCCCGGTACCGTCAACATCAAAATGTGGGTGGAAAAGGTGAAACACCCACACCTGCCTCCACCCTCTTTCACCCCACTCTGGGCCCCTGAGCAAGGCCCTCAACCCCCCCATCTGCTCCCTAAACAGGTCTCTCTTGAAAATGAGTTATATATATATAAGTAAGTATAAGTAAGTAAGTATATATATATATACTCTATACCAGTATAAAGGCGTTTTAAACTCTTCCGACACTCTTGCAATATTCTAAACAATGTTTCTAAACTCTAAACGCTCTTCAAGAGCACAGAATATCATGATTTTAGCTCTCTGTCTCTGCTGCCTTCAGCCACCCGCCAGCTCTCTTGGCCACGCCCACTTCTACGCTCTGCACGGAGATCAGCTGTTCAGCTGCAGGAGGAAGCTTATCCTGCAGTGTGGGCTGCACAACGGTGCTAAATAATTTAAAATAACTTATTTTAAATCAATTTTATTTTAAATAAAAAAATAAAATAAAAATATATATATATATATATATATATATATATATATATATATATATATATATAAATAAAATCCCACGCTGATCATGTGGCTCATCCATCAAGTCAGCCAACTGTGTGTCATGTGCAATCTTATTTTGAAAAACCGCGATAGAGCGAGTCCGCGATAAACGAACCGTGAAGTAGTGAGGGACTACTGTAATCATTTAAATCTTCTTTCTTTCCTTCTTCAGGGGTCTCCACAGCAAGTCCTCCTCCACCATCTCTCTCTGTCCCCTCTAAACTAATAATTTGAATAAGCTATAATGAATCTGCTAGTTGCAGAAATTTGGCTAACAGTCTCTGTGATTACGCCAGTAATGCAGAGGAGTAATCTTCATTTTGAGAGGCTGCATTTAGTTATGGTTCATTACATTATAGAGGAATGTTATTTTGCATCACCCCCCCCCCCCCCCCCCCCCCGAGGGCCACAATCATTTATAGGAGGCAGCCCAAAGGACGGCCTATCACAGGCTGCAAAATCTTCTGTTATTTCATTAGAGGGCACCAAAACTTTTAATCATCTGAGTCTGATGTAATTAAATAAACTGCCCACCCACCCGCCGAGGACTTCCTCCCTGTTTATGGTGTAATAGGTGGCGATCTGGTGGGGTTTGGGAGTCACGATGCGGTGGTCGAAGGGCGCTAACGGTGGGGGGCTTGAGTCTGGAAAAGAGGAGAACAAATATTAGGACACAAAGTGGTTCTGCAGAGCGAAGCAGTGACGGAGGAAGAGGCGCCTGGAAACAAAGTGGATGAAAATAGCAACATGCCAGCGATTCATTATCAGCTCTAACAGCTGCATGACGGACACGTTGGTGACGCTGGAGCAGGCGCCGTGCTGTGGCATGAAACTTGAACGTCATAAACCGACATAGATAACAGCTGTCATTTTCTATTTCTTCTACATTATTTAGTCCGGTGAAGGACAAGTCCACTCATGGACTCTGAACTCTCACCGATCAGGAACTCTTTCACTGCCGACTCCTCAGCTTCTGCCTTTGCTTCTTCAGATTTTGAGGCCTCCCCCTCGTGCCTCTGAGCGCCGCCCTCCTCGTTGTCCTCCACCCTGCTCTTCTTCAGGTCGTCCTTCACCAGGTCTTCGTCTGTGACGCGACGTTTGCTAGAAGCTCCGGCATCGTCAGAGCTTCAGATGTTATAAAAGCAAAAGAAAGAGCGCCTCGTTTGTCATTTCTGTACGAAGACATCAGAAGAAACTCCAGATTTGATATTACTACCTCTCCTGGGAGCTGGGGTCCTTCTCTGATTCTGATGACACTTCTTCTCCTTCGAGCCCCTTCTCTATACCGTCCTCCTCTTCCCTGCTCTGCTCTGTCAAATCTTCTGCCCGTTGCTCCTCTTCCTCTTCGTCTGTGTCGTCAAAGGCATCTTCTTTATCGTCCTCTCGCTCCTCAGCCTCCTTCCTCCTGTCCTCTGCTTGTCTCGCAGGAGTGTCTGACCCATCCAGGATCAGCTCTGCCGCTTCCTGTCTTCGTCCTGTACTTCCTGCGTCCTCAGTGCCCTGGATGTCAGCCTCCGCGTTCAAATGGGAATGCTCAGAGTTTTCCTTGTTGAGCTTTTCCACCTGTTTCTGCAGCACAGACTCATTCAGACAGGAGGAATCTGAAGATGGAGAAAAAAAAAAGAAGCAATTTTCATGTTTCATACTGTTTGATCGGTTAATTTAGTCCAGAAGAGATCAAAATAGGGGACAGTTCTTGGCTGGAATATAGTGGTTTTATTGATCTTTGAGCAATAATGTAAGCTTTTCAGTTCATAGCAAACACAAAGTCCCTCTGAATTTAAAACGTATCACCTAAACGCTAACGGGACTCCTATTTCCCAATAAGTCTTTCAGTCTTAAATTAGCTCCATGAGGGCGTCCTGGAAATTTTAGAGGCAGATCAGAACTAAACAATGTTTAAAAAATATTTGGTAATTTCTCAAGAAAGGCTCAAACCACGCCCCCTTTTTTTAAGAAACAAGTTTTCTGGGTAACACTTTACAATAAGGTACACAGAATTTGATTAACTCCTAGGGAACTCCTAGGGAACGCCTCAGGAACGAATCAGGAGCTAATGGGTAGTTAACCAATGCTTACTGGGGAACACACAGCCAAACCATCTTAGGGGACTACTGGTTTGTTACCACAGAAACAGAGGAGAAATTCTCCATGTGGGTTCTGAATAAACCGTGCACCAGTGAGGTCACAGCTCGTAATGGTCAAAAACCTGTTTCCTAGTGATTACTGGTTTTATTGGATTTTTACCACTGATTAGCAATTCCATAATCTTGAACTGCTGTCATCTTAACTATGTCTGACTATATCACTTGCTGAGTACCAAATCATTGTCTGGCTATTATTCAGAACACACGTGGAGAATTTCTCCTCTGTTTCTGTGGTAACAAACCAGTAGTCCCCTAATAAGGCTTGGCTGTGTGTCCCCCAGTAAGTACTGGTTAACTACGCATTAGCTCCTGATTCGTTCCGGAGGCGTTCCCCAGTGGTTACTCAAATTCTGTGCACCTTATTGTAAAGTGTTACTGTTTCCTGGTTCCTAATTCTTCACAGTTTCAGCTGATTTATCATAAAGTTTATGGTCCACATTAAAAACTATTAAAAAGACGGTTCAGAACCAAATAATTTCTACTTGTGAATGTAAAATTAACTAAAACATCAACGGAAGCCGTCTTTTTTTTTTTTTTACATATAACATAACAATAAGCACACGATGAAGGATATTAACACAGAAATGCTAGTAAACCTCTTCAGGTCTTCCTAAAGTGGATTTTGTGTGCACACGGTGGGCAAAAGGGCATCATTTGTGGTTTTTATCTTGTCATTTTTAAAAACAGCTAGGTCCATTTTTTAATTAGAAAAGTCACACATCATAAGCTGCCAGTTGCTCTGATTCCCAGTTAGAAAAACAAATTAAAACATCCTGTAAGCGTGTGCGCTTACTGTAGATGTACAGAGTTTATGTCATCTTGTAGTGCCAATGAAATGACATTACAGGCATGCCAAACGACCCGAGTCATTGCGACAAGAAAAGCGATGAGTCATCTTTTCAACTGTAAACTGTCCCATACAATGCATGGTTTATAAATGGTTTATAAAAACACAAATTGTCATTTCAGCTTATTTTACTATTATTTTCCAATGTTTTGTCTCAGTCAGGATTGTAATTAAATCCTCATCTTTTCAGTTTTTTAAATGAAAAGTGGGGACAACAAGGTGCTCGGTGTATTGTCAGTGGCTCGTACGCCCAGGAGGAAGCGCTCCGTTGTCTCTTTCTGGCACCGGCGTTTCATTCATTGTGTGCTTGAGGTCATTGTCGGTAGAACTCATCTTGTAAAACGAGCTGAAATCAGAGCACACTCACCTCCGGGGTGTGTTTTTATATAACTTCGTACTCACGTTATTTTCTTTTCGTTGCATCTAAAACGACTAAGATGTGAATTTAAAACTTGTGCTTTTTGTTGTAAAGTCCGAAAGAAGTCCCCGTGAGTGTCAAGTTTGTGTAAACGACGCTGCTGGTACCACTTTGGCTCATTCGTTCTCGGGTAATCACATGTTTTGCTCTCGTTTGTGTGTCTGAAGCATTTGCAAACACTTGAACCACTGGAAAAATTCAAGCAACAACTCACGCCACCTGAATTTTGGCAATATTCTTTTCATAACAAAACTAACACAATAAAAGAGAAAGAAAAACACATACGTTTACATCAGTTATGTTTGAAAATGTGTATTTTTCATTCATTTTAAGCTTTAAGGAGGCCAATTAAACATTCACAGAAACAGGAGTTACACATGTTTTCTTTTTGATCATGTAAGAAACTGTTCTGAGCTCATGTTTGGAGAGAAATTAGATCATTGCGTGGTTTTTAATTTACCTGATGAGTCCTGGGGTTTTCGTTTCTTCTGAGCTTTTCCTCCCTTCAGGTTCTGTTTGGTTTTGTCTTTGTCGTCCTTTGCCTTGACAAGATTAAAAAAGAGGAAAACCGTTTACGGTTAAACATAATATGCATTTTAAAAGTTTATTGAATTATTTTTTTAACCATGTGGCCTTAGGTTTTATTTAATTTAGGCAGCAATACATAAACAGTCCGGTAAGTACCTGATATGAATCCAGGGTACATATCGTACAAGGTAAGTTCAGGAAATGAACCCAATGTGTTCTCGATACACCTGGTGAGTACTTGGTAGGTAACAAGTAAATACGAGATAGAGACCTGGTGCATAGCCCCGAAAAAAAAAAAAGTTTTATGTTTTTTAGTCATTGTTATTTTGGCATCAAATATGTAAAAAACAGCAATGTACCTAGTACTTATTTGGTACCAGGTACCCCATATGTACCTGCTACATACTATGTAAGTACCCAGTGTATTTACGTTACATACTCAATGTGTACGGTACATATGCTTTTACCATACCAACTTCCGCTGAATCTAGTACATACCCAGTGTACTTGATGCATATCAGATAAGTACTAGATATGTATCCTGTATGTACCTGGTATCAACTGTACAAACCAAATAAGTATTGAATACATATACATACATATTTTTGGATTATAAAGTGCAGTATCAATGAACAGGTCAGTTTTCATGCATAAGGCGCATTAAGCGAAACAAGTTCATTTAGACAGATTTTTGAGCGCAGTGTACTACTTTGTACATAAATTCAGTCCAAGGTCAGTTTCTGAAGGAATATGGAAAAGTATAATGTGTATCCATACAAATTTTGTTTGACTTGATGTTGTTTTTATTTAGCTTTGTTTTTTTTTTTGTAAATTACTTTTGTTTGAATATATTCATAGCAAAAAGGGGCAGATAGCATAGGATTTATTCTTCTTCTGCTGCCTTTCATTTTATTTTTGATTATATACACATTTTTTGTTTTCTATTGTATTTAGTTATTTTGTTTTTTAATGAAATGAATAAATATCTAAAATAAATAAATTAAATCAAGCACAATCAGACTATACATAAGGCGTACTATAAGGCTCGCTGTCGATTTTTTAAAAACATTAAAGGATTTTAAGTGCGCCTTATACAGTATTCTGAAAAATATGGTATACATATTGTACCCAGTACATACTCAAAGTATGTACCAGATACATACCCAAGGTACATACTCGATATATATTGGATAAATACTTTGTACCAGATATGTATCTGGTACCTGGTACCAACAATTAAGTACTAAGTACGTACCCAGTTGGTAAGAATCCTGTATGTACTTGGCACATACACAACAGTATGTACTAGATGCATACCCAAGGTATATACTCAAAATGTACCAGGTAAATATTAGGCATGTACTCAGTGTGTACTAGGTTCTGGCTGTTTCTTGGACACTTATGTTGTTCCTTTGATTTTTGTAATGAAAATAATTCAATCTGACACAAATATATCTGAAGATGAAACAGACAAAAGAGCGTATTGTGGAAAAAATACTTAAAACTTTTTTTTAATCAACCTAAGTAAGTTATGTAACATTTCTCTAAAGGAAGGCAGACAGCTGTGCTGCCAGGACTCTGGTGCCAACCAGTCTGTTAACGTTGACAGACATTTCCATTTGAACAACAAGATGCCAAGTCCGACAGTTTGATGCTGTTGCTGTGGTGGCACCATAACTCCAGAACAATGTTCTCTTCAGAAGCCTCCACTTAAGGAGAAAAGGTCACTCTGACTGTAGCAGAAAAGAAAAGTTGCTCATTAAGGACACTTTAATCAAATCAAGGCTGACTTTAGATCAGCCCTTGTTATTAATATGAAGGATGGAGGCTTTAAAGGTTTCGAACACCAACAAAAACGTATCCTGAAGACACAGGAAGCTTGTTGTTGGGTTCACAATGTTCCACCCATGAATACCACACTCAGTGTTATGTAATTATGTAGCATCTAATCTGTTATTGCATTAATGTCACCCACTCAGAACAGAACACACAAGTGGCACTCTCACTGTCCAGCTGCAGTCCGACCCGGTTCTGATAAAGACCCGAGGGTCTGGGTGTGATAACGAGCCTGACTCCAATCATTTACACCTCGGAGGCAAATAAGAACCTTTGCAGGGAGAGAAAAAACTGTTTCACATTAATGAGAACTACAAGTGTGGGTCCACCGGGTCAAAGGTTAACACAATCAGAGTCACATCGCAGTGCGAGTGCTGAGTAACGAAAAACGCTGCTAAAACTAGCCGAAGAAGCTTTAACTGAGTTGTTGAAGCTGAAATAATCAGAACACCAGTGTGATGGAGCAAAACAGTAGCTGAAAGTAGCACATTAGCCTAAAGTCATACGTTATAGAGTAGACGAAAGTTTAATGTAGCAAAAGGCTAAAAGTATTAACAGTTAGCGAAAAGCTGAAGGTAGCAGAATTGTAGCTAAAGGTAAAAGTAGCAAATACCTAGCAAAAGGTATACTTTTAGCTGCATTCTAATATATTAAAATGTTTGCAAAATGTTAAAAGTAGCTAAATGCTTGGTAATACTAAAAGTAGCAAAAATATAGCGAAAAATATTGATTATAGCTTTAAATTAGCTTTATATTGATTGATGAAAAAATGAAATTTCCCTTTGGGATCCATCCATCCATCCATTATCTTTTACCCGCTTCTTCCATTTTGGGTCGCGGGGGTCGCCGATGCCCATGTCCGGCAATCACTGTGCGAGGGACGGGGTACACCCTGGACAGGTCGCAAGTCCATCACAGCCATTTGGGATCAATAAAGTATAATTTTTATTTTATGTAACCTTTATTTAACCAGGCAAATCCCATTGAGATCACAGATCTCTTTTGCAAGGGGCCTGGGTCTTAAGGCAGCCTAACATGCATGTTTTTGGTCTGTGGGAGGAAAACGGAGTGCCCGGAGAAAACCCACGCAAGCACGAGAAGAACATGCAAACTCCACACAGAAAGACCCCAGGTCATACTGGGGATTGAACCCAGGACATGCTGTGAGGCAACAGTGCTAACCACTGAGCTGTTGTGCTGCCATTGCATATTGATTGATTGATTGATAAAAGTTAAAAGCAGCTAAATGATAGCTAAAAGCTAAAGCTAACAAGATAGCTAAAAGAATTAAAAGGTTATGTAAAAGCTAAAAGTTGCATAATGGTAGCTAAAAGCTATATTAAGATTTAAGGTTTCTTTATTTGTCATTCACACCACATGTGGTACATGTGGTGGAAAGAAATTGTGTGCACATGGTCCCAGTTACATCCAACAAAAATATAAATTTTAATGAAAAACACAAATAAGATCTAAGATATGAACTAAGAAATACGCTAAACTAAGAATATTAAGAATATGTAGAATTAAAATAAACATTAGTCCACATGCTGAAGCAGATTTAAAAGAGAAAAAATGTTTTAAAGGACTGAAAAATCTCAATGAATTTACATTTTTAAAACGTTTGGAAATAAATTAAAATAGTTAGAAAAGTGCAAAAGTCACAGCATTCATCTCCTCAATAAACTGCAAGTGCTAAAATGGCTAAACTTGCACAAAGTATGCAGAAGTAGTTAAACTGCAAATATCGTTTAAAGAAACGAGGGAAAGAAACAATTTGCATATTTCCAATAAAAGCACAGGAAAAATAAAAATCATGAGCGTTTTAAGTCATTCGAGGCATTTCGGCAGCAGTTTGTTTGCCATCACATTAAAAGAGTAAATATTTGCAAAAACAGGAACAGAAAATCTGCACATCTGGATTAAATAATGTTTGATGTTACAGATGCTTTAGGCCCAGTGTTGCCTCACCTTCCTGCTGCTTTTGTTTCTGGGCTGTTTGAATAAAAGCTCCACCAGCCTGGAGTTCTTCACCACCTCCCCGATGAGGCTGATCACCTGCTGGGTGCCCCCCACCAGCTTCTCCACCCCGTCCAGCCTGCGCCCGTGACTCTCTATGCGCTCGCCCGCCCTGTCCAAAGCCCCGCTCAGCTCCCTGCAAACCGCCTCCATCTCTGAGCCGCTTCTCCCGTCCTCGCCAATGGAGGCCAGGTCCCGGCCCATTCCCCTCACGTCCTGGGACAGGCTGTCCAGCCGGGTCAGCACGGTCTGCTGCATGGTGAGCAAGTGCTCCATCTGGGAGCTCAGGGAGTCCATCCTGCTCTCCATGCAGCGCAGCGCAGCTTCGTGGTGAGCTGAGGATGAAGCCGGAGGCCGGTCTGATCCACTCAGAGAGAACTTCCTTCCATGAAGCTTCTGACCGTGAAGAGGGTTCGGATCGTACATTTTGGCTAAAGAGTTCACGATGCTGGAGTTCATGATGGAATATCTGCACACAAACAGCTAAACCGACGTGCTCAGAGCTCAAAGTCCACTACAGGAGGAAGCATTTTCACCATCACAGGAGATGCAGAGTAAAAGAGGACGGAGGACATGAATCTGTCCCTCAGATGCTGCAGAGTCGAGTTATAAGAATAGCTGATGGCTCGTCTCCAAATTAATGTTCAGACGTCAGGGGCTGAGTGGCCAGTGATAAGAGCCGAGGGCTCGGGTGTGCAGCTGAGGATTGATGGGGTTTAAGGTGGTGGGGGGGGGGGATGCTATGTGACATTTGAGACACTTAAAGAGCCCTTCAGACGGGTGTCAGAATCCCAAGAATCCAGGCCTGAAACATGACGCCATAAAAAGAATAGCAAACAAAAAAACATTCTGCCAACAGAAAAAAAGGAGCCGACGTTCTCCGGGCAGTTAATCAGGAGCTCATGTTTTGAGTTTAGAACACGTTAATCTCGCCGTCATTATGGGATGCTTATTGGGGGGGCTATTAGTTTCACGTTGTGAGAGTAGAGGGAGGTGAGACAGGTGCTTGCGTGTGAAGCTGCAAACTTCACAGACAATTTGTACTCCGTTAAAGACACGAGCGTCAAGTTTCTGAGCCTGAGGGAACGGCAGGCGGCTTTCATAATTCAATTATTTTTGCCCACCGGATGTGGACATTGCTGACGCATCCACTGATGCATGTTTTCAGTTTTATCGCTGGAAGACATCAGGAAGCAGGCGATCCCTCTGACACCTGAGAACTGTTTGCACAGGAGAGAAAGGGGTTGTGGGAGAGAGAACTAAAGGCCCGACCCGAAACATAGGTCCATGTTCTTATTGGAACACGTCTGAACTTGGACTTTGACCTCAATCGTTTCCACGTCCCGGTACAGAACATTTGTATCTGGAGCCGACGCCTTTATACCGACTGTCAGCACCTGGAAAAGTCCTGACCCACGGTCCGTCCCGGCTCTGCTCCCAGGACAGACAGACTCACCATCAGCTGTTTAACACTCACCTCCAGGGCCGGTTCATAACAGGTGAGGATTCAAAGAACAGCTCAGAACCTGTCAAAATAAAAGTTTCCTCATGGAGAGAACAAGAACACTTTACAACAGGTGCAGCACAAGTTGTTGATTTAACCAGGCACCGATAAGTGACTAATATATCGTGAATCATTGACTGACGGTGAACTTTAAATGTTTAATAAAAAGGAAGTGGTCTGTTTGTGACGGTTGCAAATGAATCAGATTCAAAACTAAATGATTACTTATCACAAAATAATTTATGTCAACTTAAATCCTACATTTGTGAAAATCAGAGGTTCTTCTGTCTTTATAGTTGAACAACAACAGGAAGTCAGACAAACTAAAAATATGAATCTTCTTCTTCTTTCAGCTTTTCCCTCTTCAGGGGTCACCACAGAGAGTCCTCCTCCTCCATCTCACTCTGCATCCTCTGTCCTCACTCCAGCTACCTCCATGTCCTCTCTAACTGCATCCATAGATCTCCTCTTTGGCTTTTTCCTGGCAGCTGCATTTCTAACATCCTTCTACCAATATACCCACTGTCCCTCCTCTGGACATGTCCAAACCATCTCAGTCTGGTCTCTCTAACTTTATCTCCCAGTTGTTCAACCTGTGCTGTACCTCTGATGATCTCATTCCTAATCTTATCCATCCTTGTCACTCCTAAGGAGAACCTCACCATCTTCATTTCTGCTACTTCCAGTTCTGTCTCCTGTCTTTTTGTCCATGTCTCTGTCTCCAGACCATACAACATAGCTGGTCTCACCACTGTCTTATAAACTTTTCCTTTGACCATTGCCGACACCTTTTGGTCACAAATCACTCCTGAAACTTTTCTCCATCCACTCCATCCTGCCTGGACTCTCTTCTTCACCTCTTTACCACACTCCACATTTTCCTTAACAGTGGACCTCAAGTCCTTGAAGTCCTGCACCTTTGTGACCTCTGCTCCTTGTAGCCGCACTGTTCCACCTCCTCCCTCTCATTCACACACATGTACTCTGTCTTACTACGGCTGACTTTCATTCTTCTTCTTTCAAGTGCATACCTCCACCTCTCCATGTTCTCTTCCACCTGTTATCTGTTCTCACCGCAGATCACAATGTCATCTGCAAACATCATTGTCCACGGGGATTCCTGCCTGACCTCATCTGTTAGTCGGTCCATCACCAGAGCAAACAAGAAGGGGCTCAGAGCTGATCCTTGATGCTCTCCCACCTCCACCTTGAAGCTGTCCGTCACTCCTACAGCACATCTCAACACTGTCCTGCTGTCCTCATACATGTCCTGTACCAGTCTAACATACTTTTCTGCCACTCCAGATTTCCTCATGTAACACCACACCTCCTCCCTCGGCACTCTGTCAGATGCTTTTTCTAAATCCACAAAGACACAATGGAGTTCTATCTGACCCTCTCTGTTCTTCTCCATCAGCATCTGCAAAGCAAAGATGGCATCTGTGGTGCTCTTTCTTGGCATGAAACCATACGGCTGCTCACAGACAGTCACATCTCGTCTAAGTCTAGTTTCCACAACTCTCTCCCAGATCTTCATCATGTGACTCAACTTAATTCCCCTGTAGTTGCTACAACTGTACATCACCCTTGTTCTTAAAAATGGGCACCAGCACACTTCTTCTCCATTCTTGAGGCATTTTTTCACCCTCAGATATGTCATTGAATATTTGAGTGAAAAAACACACTGCCATCTCTCCAAGACATTTCCAAACCTCCACTGGTGTCATCAGGTCCTACTGCCTTCCCCTTCTTCATTCTTTTCAGAGCTTTCCGAACTTTACCTTCACTAATCTTTCCTGGTCCACAGTTTCCATGACCTCCAATCAAACTAAAAATATGAATTATCGCCTTTAATAGATTTTTTTTTTCAATTTCACACAAAAAAGTTGGAACTAAAAGAAATAGATAAACCTGTACAGCTTACAGGATTCAAACATGATCCTCCTCAGTCATGTAAGACAGAGTTTAATCAAACGTCAGATACAGTTAAAGTAGATTTAATATGGATTTAAACAGTTAAAGTGTATTTAATATGGATTTAAACTAAGTAGATTTATTATGAATGGAAACAGTTAAAGTAGAATTAACAGATTTAAACAGTTAAAGTATATTTAATATGGATTTAAACAGTTA